CGTCGACAGCCAGGATCATCCAAGGCCCCACCCACCACCTGTGGGTGGGTACCAGAAGAATCCGCCAGTTGCCGACACGTGGGGGTTTGCCGACGGGAACGCAGAGAGTCTACGGCCTCTTGGTGCAGAGAACGACAGCCGTCGACAGCCAGGATCATCCAAGGCCCCACCCACCACCTGTGGGTGGGTGCCAGAAGAAGCCGCCACTTGCCGACACGTGGAGGTTTTTCCGACGGGAACGGAGAGAGTCTACGGCCTCTTGGTGCAGAGAACGACAGCCATCCACGTGTAAGGATCGCAAGCTGAGCAGCCTTGTCCCAATCAGATCCAGGCTAGCATCTGTGATATGAGCACCCGTCAACTTCAGAACCTCCAACCGAGGCAGGTGCTGTGTAAGGACACTCACGTCGTCATCCTGCAGCCGCTGTTGACCAGTAACATGAAGCACCAAGCTAACGAGGTTGGGGAGGCCCGTCGCAAGGGCTGCCACAACAGCCGACAGCTCTCGCCGTCGCCTACGATCACCTTCCGTCACTTGGAACAAGATCTTCAGCGACTGCAGTCGAGCACCACATCCATGCACAAACGCATGCACAGCAGGCATCCACTCTCCTCGCGGTCCGTTCGGGGACCAGAACCTCACGTCCCCGACGATGAGCCCTTCCAGCATGGGGCAGTTGCACCCAATGTACTCAAGTAATGACAGTTGGCAGCATTGGATGGAGAGATTGACTAGCATACCTTTGCTCCTCAGCACCACAGCCTTCACGGCTTGCTCGGTCAAGTGCGGCTTACTAGAAGACAGAGAATACAAGTTCGCCTCCCTCCAATAGCCGGGATTGGGTGACAGCGACATGTGGCGCCACATCCTGCACACACAGCACACACGGAACCTATCTATGGTGGGAAGCAAGCTGAAGATCCGCAGAAGCAAGTCCTCGCTCAGACGAGACCACTCAGCAGCTACTCCTCTGCCAATTATAGCACTCGCAGCTTCAGCAGCCCCACCATAGCCACCATAGCCATCATCATCATCATCATCATCATGCCCATCACCACCATCATCACCACCTTGATGATGACGACTGCCACCGCTGCAATCATAGGTAGCCGCTGTGGGCTCGCCATCCTCTTGCCCTTCATCGGCCTCTACATTTCTTTCGTCAGTGATACTTTCCCCTCCTCTCTCCATTGTCCTCCTCTCTCCGCCGAATCGGTTCCCCACTGTGGTCTGGCAGTACAAGTCAGACTGAGTGTGGGTGTAGGTGTGGGTGTAGGTGTGGGGGTAGGTGTGGGGGTAGGTGTGGGTGTGGGTGTGGGTGTGGGGTGCGGGGTGTGGGGGTAGGTGTGAGGGTGGGTGTACGCAGACGAGTTCCTCCTGCTGCTTTCCACCTGTCACTCACTCATGTAAGGGTAACGAGTGCATGTGAATACGGCGATGGTCTTGGCTTGTACGTTGCGTGCATATAAGGCGATTGGCTTTCCCTTTTCTCCATGGGGGGGCGCCTCCCTCACGCAGAAAGACCACAACCTGCACCCCCACCAACAACACCAGCCCCCCCAACAAAATTAATTTATTTACTTCATTTCTGAACTTGCAAGGTAGCTCTTGCATCCATCACCTGCACCCCCCCCAACAGCACCAACCCCCCCAACAAAACCGAATAAAAGGCCAATGCGGGCCGTTGATCTGACAGCTGAAATTGATCGAGCGGTCGGTCCAGGGATAAGTAAAGCCATTAAAAAAAAAAAAAGGATAAGTAAAGGGATTGTCGAGTATGGGAGCACCACTGCTCCAAGCAGATAAGAGGGGACTCAAATCTATACCGTGTTCTCCCGAACACAACGCACCCTCGTTGTGAATGCATCCAACCGGAGAGATGGCTTGTATACATTCAGAATCAGGGTGCGTTACGTTCGGGGGAAGCCGGAAGTAGCACTTCCGGCATGTGCCAAGCAGGTGCAATAATGGCCCACCAAATGCATCCAGATGCGGCCGCAAATGCGGTCAGATACATTAAAGAGAGAGTGCTAGCAGTGTGAGTACGCCCAAGGAATACCGAAATGCCATGCCCCACGTCACAGTGTCCCGCGGCACAGCCTAATCTCACAGCAAAGCTCATCATCATCAAAGCCTGAACATCTCCATGAAAACGACCAGGAGCAAAACCGTGAGTATCGCAACCGAACCATCAGCTTCTCCCCGCACCGTCGATTCACACACCAAAGAAAAAACAACCTGAATAATCAGAACTGAACAAAAAGACACAAGAAAAGAAAAGAAAAGAAAAGAAAAGAAAAGAAAAAAGAAAAACCGACCAACAACTCGTCACCCCACCGACGTCCAGTCACACACCAAAGCGGATCCGAAACTTTGAAATAACTAGAACCGAACCAACACCGAACCTTCTTCCTTCGGACTGCAAAATGCAAAATACCCCTCTCTCTCTCTCTCTCTCTCTCTCTCTCTCTCTCTCTCTCTCTCTCTCTCTCTCTCTCTCTCTCTCTCTCTCTCTCTCTCTCTCTCTC